AATACCTGAAACATAAACATAACACGACATAATAATACGAAAAAAAGTAAAACGACATTAAATTGCATGCGAATTGAGTCAAAATAAACGATATATTTTCACGTTATCAACACCCTCACACTTAAACCATTGCTTGTCCTCAAGCAATCAACCAACACATAAAAAAAAGAAAAGAAATAAGCACGGTTTGAAACATACGCAGAACGAGACTCTAATCATATGTGGCTGCTAGGATAATGTTAGATCTATAGGTACTAAACATCAATACCAAGATACCATAACGACACAATTTCAAAAACTCCCTCCTTATGCAAACCAATCAGAATCGTGCCATTATAACTCAACCTATATCTCTTGCTCTCGTTCACCCCATTTCATTCTAGTGCAATCACATTAAGCCCATTATCCATACACATACGTGGTAAGTAAACCTGTTAGTGACTATTTATCTCATTGTTATTTCATTTTTCTTGGTAAATATGCTTAAGCATCAATTAAAATCTAAAGACTTTGTATCGTTGGGATAAGTGATCGGGTGAGGAGCACCTAACCTAGAAGGAACATATCTTTTTATTTATTTTTTTCTTCTATTAATTTTTCATTTTGAACCAGAGATCATATACTTATTTGCATCGACTTCTTACTTAGTGTATGCTTAATATGGTGCCGACTGCTTAAATAAACTACTTATGGATCACTTTGAAAACTGAACTTAAGGTCTCGACATAATGGGTACTCAAATTGATTTTGCGTATTTAGGGGGTTTAGGGTGTCAGGACGGTATCGATTTTATCGAAACTTTCCTAAGTCTTTCTAACACATCCTAAATTAAAAACAACCTATATACTTTCAGAGTGTCATGCCATGAATCAAAGCAAAAAATTGTTGGAGGTTAAAATTTTAAAATTTCGGGAAAATTGAATAACAAGTGAAAACCATGCACAAAGACTCAACAACATAAGCAAAGACTCGACAAAACATTAAAAACAGATAGAACTCCTAAAAACATGAAATGAACTAAAAAATGGTAAAACTAACTATAAAGTACTAAAATCAAAGCGGTAAAGTTCCTCCCCCGTACTTAAACCAAACATTGTCCTTAATGTTTTGATAAAAGGTGGAAAAAGGAAAGATAAAACCTATGTGAATGCTACTGCGTGCCAAATCATCTCTGATCCTGCTCTTGTTGTCCCTGTCTTCACTGACCACTTCTACTCTGGCGTATGGCATTTTATGAGATCTCCAATTATACAATTCTTGAACCAACTCATCATATTCACCCGCTTCCGAAAGAAGTACCTGCAAAACTGTTAGAAAAATATGGTGCGGTGTATGTAAGTGGAACCTAACCAAGTGAAGAACGAGGAAGAGGTGAGTTATAGACGGGAGAGACATGCTCTCTTCTATCATACTTATCATCAGTGTCACCACTAGCAGTGACATTCATAGGAATATATGTGGGCACCAGCTCATCTCCAGGATCGTCATCTAGTGAATTTTCGCCTAGATGTAGCTGAGACGTGACAAGAGATCCATCTCTTTATTTTCTATAAATTTAAACAAACAAACATAGAAACTTAAAATAAAAACCTCGTGGGTTTCCTCCCACGCAGTGTTTCGTTTAACATCGATAGCTCGACGACTAAGGAGTGCAAGTAGTCATGGTGGTTCTTTCGAGGATGGTTCCTCAATCGAACTTTTAATAATATTTGGTTTCCATGGACACTTATCAAGCCATCTCTCATATCCCTCGCCTTTTCTTTTCTTTCTTCTGTGAGGTGGTTCATTCCTTTGAACTTGTGTTGGTGATTCTCGATCTATCCTGAGTATCAGCTTTTCATGTTTGGGCTTAGTTATTTCATCTACTAACTCAAAATCTAGCATTCCCCTCTTAACACTAATGATTTCCCTAGTTTCATGGTCCTCTAACTTTCTCTTTTTATGTAGGAGCTCAGACAAAGGTTCATTGGTGTGGATATTTTCCAATACCTCCACATATGTTTTGGATTAGGAGTCTACCTTAGCTTCTACAAACCTTTACGAGAAAAGAATCGGTGGGGTATATGGAGAAGGAACAACATGAGGTGCTTCCTTCTCTACCTCTTCGACAACCTCTCTTTCGGGTGGTGTTGGTGGATTTTTCTCAATCTCTACGCTTTTCTTACCATAACTCTCCTCAACTTCATTATCACTCTCCTTAGGATTTTCAATTTGTTTTTTACTACTAGTTGTTACAACATCCACATGTCTCTCAGGGGAGGGTCCTATAGGTGTATGTGCAAGCAGGAATATTTGAGTCTCCAATGCCTCGTTGTGAGTCACGAGGGACTCGACCACAGTGTTCATCTGCCTAAGGTTTTCATTAATTTGGAGATGTTGTTTTCTAAACTCTTCATTTTGGAGAGTTTATGTCTCCACAAAGCGCTTCATCATAAATTTTATCCTAGAGTGAGTAAGTGTCACATTGAATTCCTCCATTAGTATTTCGAGTTTGGATTTATGAAAATCTTGCGGTTCCTCAAAATACTGGGAGTGGTAATCGTAGAGGAAATTTGGGTGAGAATGAGTTAGTGTCGCATTGATATCCTCCATTAATATTTAGAGGTCGGGATTATGGGATTCTTGTGGTTCCTCAAAATATTGTGAGTGGTAATTGTAAAGGAAATTTGGATTATACATAGTAATTGATATAAGGGTGCCTTAGTCTATATGGTACAACAAAGGAATCACAATATTGATTGTAGGTCTCTGGCAACGGCGCCAAAAACTTGGTGCGTTCGCAAGTGCACGAAAATATCAAGTAATATAAAAGATTGTCGAACCCACATAGACCAATGTCAACCTACCATTATCTATTATTACGGTGTAAAGCTAAGGCTAATGATTCCTTGGTTTAAACGGAATTAAAATGAAACTTAGAAAATATATAAATAAGAAGAGGCTGGAATATAGATTTCCTGTTCCTAAAGGACTCTGCAAATTATAGGCGCTAATTGTAATTAACTACGTTCCGTAGGAAATACCGGTTTAAAGACTTTGTCTCACACTCACGCGCTATTGACTAAAGCCCACACTCCCTAACCACAGGATTTTGCTCTCGCTCGCCCGCTTTAATTAGAAAGCATATTTTGAAAATCAATTAAATTCTAATCGATACCTAAAATGCTCTCGCTGTTTTTAGGATCGATGCCTAGTTCCCACTATCTGGTTCAATCCTCACACTCTCGCACTATTGGCTTGAACCTTAGTATGCTTTTCATTCTCATGAAAAAATATTAAGACTTATAATTAGAAACTAAAACCAAAACAGAATTGATTATCGTTTCACGCCTATTATTTTCTACTGAGTCCCGTCAGTAACGACGGTCCTCATATGCTGGTCTCAAGACAATTTAGCAAAACATGGTTGCAGAAACAAACAAAGAATATCGGGTTTTCGAATTAACTAAAGACATAATAAGTGGTTTAAAATAATTTAAAGCGATGTTTGCAGAGAAAGGTAGAAGCTTGAAACAGTAACAATGGAAGAAAAGTAAAGCTTAAAAGTAAACTGCAGAAAATAAAAGCAGGAAAATAAATGCGATGAATGTAAAGGAACCTGAAATAAAAACTGGAATGTAAATTGAATTAAGAACTTAAAATAGCGGCAAGATTTGATTCAAGCATTACATAGATTGTAGGCCTAAATACTAATGGTGTGATAGTTCCTCGATGTGAGAAAACTACCACTTTTACAATGATAGTTTCTGCCTAAAACTATGAACAGAATGTCGGTAGCGCTTCCGCGTGACTTAGATGCCTCAGAAACACCCCTCTAGGTCCTATTTATAGAAAAATAGCATCCCCTTGTAACTTCCCTTGGTCGTGGCAGAAAGTGGAGGGAAAAGTGGTTGAAAAACTGCTTGAAAACTACCCACTCTCGCAAAACTGCTGTCTGCAGCGTAATGGCAAATGTTGTTAGGCAACGGGGAACGCCATTTCCTGGGCAATGGAGAACGCCATCTGGGGACGACGAACACTATATCATCAAAATGGCAGAACTTGCTCTTTTTCTTCATTTTCTTGCTCTTTTCCCAGTTTTCTCACACGGACGCTTTTATTTGGCCAATACCTGAAACACAAACATAACATGACATAATAATACAAAAAACAAGTAAAACAACATTAAATTGCATGCGAATTGAGTCGAAATAAATGATGTATTTTCATGTTATCACAAATATTATCCTCAACATTCGATTCTATGTTCTCCTAGAATTTATGGTTACACAGTTTGACATCTGAATCTGAAGTTTGGTCGCAACACAATATCGCTCCAGCAGAAAAAAAAATTTAGAATCCACTGATACATCCTTTGATTAATCATTGTGACAATAGGAAAAAGAGGTATTAGGGATTCTTTTCAAAGAATCAAAATAGGAGGGTTTATAGAATTATTCTATCGGATCCTCCGAATTGATCGGCCCATCAGGAATGACTAGGCCTAAAGACCATCTTGATTTTTTCTTAGACTTTCTCTTACCAATCGGCCCAATAACCTCAACCACGCTCCTTAAATTCTCCGTCTTAGCCTTCCCGTTTTTCCCTCTCCCCAAAAGATTGACTTTGTCTATCTTAAACAAAGGAACCAGGGGCTTAGAGGTTTCAAACACAAAATTTATTGATCCATCACAATCAGCCCTTTTCTTCTGAACAAAAGAGTTTACTCTAGTTGTATTTACCGCCTCTAAAGTTGTGTCAAAAGCATTATCCCTAGAGTCACCTACAAAAAAATCTCCATGATGAGAATATCTTATCGAGGTGTCATCTTTTTCAATGGCCAAGAGAGTCCCTTCCTGGTTCAAGATTTTGTCTGGAGAATAACAAGATGCATCCATATTAGCATTCTTCACCCTCATCTGCTCCATAAACCAGTTGTCTTCCTCCTTCTCTCTCTCGATCTTACTACAATTACTTTCTGATTCAGAAGAGGAACATTGAACCTAAGGCTTCTTCATTGTTCAATTAGTGATCAGACGTAAGAGATCATGAGAATCTTCTATCATCTTGATGCTAAAAATTTCATCATTGATCTGAACTTTAAATGTTTCATTGAGCACCACTGCACAGTTTGTCATAACCATAATTATAGAAACATCCATACAATATTCCTTCAAAGTGTTATCATATACACAAACATAATTTCTATGTGTCTTAGCTAATAGTTCAAAAAAATAAAAGTTCCAAGCATGGAAAGGGATGCGATAACATCTCAGCCATGTAACTCTTTCTTTATCCAAATCCTCCTCTTTCCATTCTCTAATCACCGAGAACCATTGTCTCCACCAAGATTCTGCTTCTCTTATTAAATCTCTTATTTCACCATGTTCACTTTCTTCTAACAAACATAGATTATCTCCTAGAGGAGTTGCCTTGATGGAAAAGTAACCCTCAATCTCAAAACTTGTTTGGATGTTGTAAGTCATACCAGGGTTAATAACAACTCCCACATATACCTTCCTGAATCTAACAATATTTGCCTCTACGTGTTGAAATTTCAGATAAACTGGTGTCTTCATAGAGTTATTAACAACAACTAGCTTATCTTTATTCACCACCTCAGCATAGGTTCTTTCTCCTACTTTAGTTCCAGCAGCTCCGTATCTCCTTCTCAAAGGACCATCCCCAGCTTAAGTTTGAGGTGTATCTCCCCCAACCTTCTCTTCTCCAAAATAACCTTTCTTTACTCTGGAAAATCTTGGAATATTGACATGAATCTTTACGTTGTCAATAAAGATGTTATCCAACTTAACCGTGAGCAATCTACAATCCTCAACGTCGACGAATCTAGCAAATTCAAAGCATTTACCAAACTTGTTTCTTTTAGGAGGTATCACAACTTCCTTCACCTTACCTTACTCACAAAACACATTAAAAATCTTTTTTGCATTCGTATTATCTAGAATTTTAGAGAAATAGAATGATGGAAACCTTTCCTCCCCCTCCCCCCCCCCCCCCCCCACACTTTTGAAGCACCTCCTAATGGGAAAGAGTCTCATTTATGCCCTGAAAACTCTCCTGCTTGCACGTTTCCACTCCATTTTTATGCCATCAATTGCAAGGTTATAGTGGAAAAACAATTCAATATACTACACCATATTTACAAACCTGAGCCTCAGTATTTGCCTAGTAGTTCTTAAAATGCGGATAAAAAAAAGTTAAGCATTTCTTTTCCCACCCCATGCATTTCTTATGCACCGTGTGGATTTCCTATTATGCCTCCGTTTTCGAAGATATATCTCCGGAAACATCCCACGTCTGACTAAACATTAAAATATTCCATATATATATTATATATATATATATATATATATATATATATATATATATATATATATATATATATATATATATATATATATATATATATATATATATATATATATATATATATATATATATATATATATATATATATATATATATATATATATATATATATATATATATATATATATATATATATATATATATATATGGAACTATTTAAACCTTAAACAGTCACAACATATCTCCCATAACCTATTTCCATTTGAATATTTTCGGAGATGCATCTATGGGAATTTTTCGGAGATACATCTCTGAACTATATCAGAACATATTTTTTTTTATAATGCTTTGTGTATTTGTTTGCAAATGAATTATCATGCACGATTCCGAATAAAATAATAGACATGCAAAATAATGTAGTGATATAGTAATATAATGTCGTACGACACGGAATCGAAAATATAGTTATAATGTCAGGAAAAATGTACAAACTACAGTTATGCGACAAAATAAATACATACAACTACTAGGTGTGCCTGACAACCTCTCATCTACCTCCTCTGCCTGGTCTGCTGTTGAATGTCAATCTTGCTTTAAATTGATCATTAATTATTGGCATTTTTCAACTCTTTTGTGTTGTTTTGTTGGATTTACTCCATGATATCATGTTATTCTTCAATATTGTAAAAATACCTTTGGTTGCTTTGATTTGTGTGTTATTATGCAGAAATTAGGTATAAAAATATTAAAGTGTAAGACACAAGAAATTGGGCAAGGAAGCCAAAGGAAGAGAAGGATTTCAACATGTTCGTTGTGCGAACAGCCAACAAGGAGTGCTAGCGAATGTTCGATGTGCAAACTCATGGTGAAGTCCCAGCGAACCATCTCAGAATGAAGTCAGTAGCTAAATGGCAGTAAGTTCGTTGGGCGAACAAGCAGCGAATGTTCGTTGTGGCAAAGTGGAAGCGAAAATCCAGCGAACCATCCCTATTTGAGGCAGTAGCTAAAGTACCATAAGTTTGTTGTGCAAACTTTTAACGAGGTACTCGCAATGCGAAAAATTGCTCGCACAGCGAACTTCATATATTTCTCAAGGGCAGCTTAACTGTTCAGAGGCGCTTCAGGAGCCTAAAATGGTGTTCGTTGGGCGAAGAAACAGTTCGCAGTGCGAACATGACAGATTCTAAAAGTACTATATAAGTACTTTTCACTATTTTTGGGAATCAGAACCCATCTCTACACACAAAAACTTCATTTTCTCAGATTTCTTCTCCAAAAGGTGATATTTTACAAATAGAAGCTGGATTCGCATCTGAGTTTGATTCTTCGATGTAGATGCTCATTCATCTTCTTCCAAAATTTGTAAAGTAAGCTACCATGGTTATGGGTAGCTAATTTCCTTTGTATGAAAGGTAGAGGTAGTATACCTTTTTCTTGTATGTGTTTGTTTTGATTGGCCTTGTATTTGAACAAGTGATGATTAATATATGATGAATATTTTTGTTCTTAATGATCCATTCTTGTTTTGTAAAACTCTAGACATAGATTTTGTAAAACTTGACCTAAAATATTCATCTATCGGTTTATAAATTGGAGAAATCGGTTTATGGTTGATAGTTGCTTTGTGTTGAACTTAAAGCTTACTATATAGGTTGTTATATAGAGAAATTGTGTAGCGATGAATATGATATTTCTCACGACGTCGCTCTAGACATAGACGGTGTTGAGAGAATGTGTGATGATATTAATCGGATCCAACTTCACATGCAAGATTGAAAGAATACTATAAGTTAAGGTAGATAAAAACTACTTTTGATATACTTTGTTAACAAAAATATTTAGAATTCATAAGCTTTGCTACTAAAAACATGACAATTTTATGAACAAAACTTTGAAAACCCTTATTCTTAAACGATAAACTGTTGAAAGGAAAACATCAAAATATCCTCAATCCCTGTAGAGGCGATAACAAAAGCCCCCTTTGACTACAATTTGAACATCTGCCTCTTTGGCCATCAACCTCCCCCCCCCCCTGTCCTCGTGCGATGTCTGATGTACAATAATGCCCCATGTGCCTTCGTAGCCATGGCATCCAGTACTCACCATACAATAGAGCCCTAGGGGAATATACCCTCGTCAATTTCTGCCTGCGCAATCTTCACTATGCAGCGACACTGAGGCAAGACATCATCAGTATGAGCTAGCTGAGTCTGCTCTTCCTCTAGAATCTCCTGATGAGCGGGTCTTGGCAGATCTCTTGGAGTAATAGGCATCATGCATGGATGTGAGACCCTAAAGAACCACCTGATGTATCCGATGACATAGCTCTAGTCATTCACGCTATGGTAGCCCGAGCCTCATCTGGTACCAGATGAATTTGATAATCAACAAACATCTCATCTATTTGTATACGAGTCAAGGCAGGAGGAACAATGACAACAAGGTGTCTAGGGATGGTATGGGTGTACCCGCACTTCTGCATGACACGCTCAGGCAGATGAGGAGCAGTGATACGCGATTTGCAAGCCATCCATCCGGAGTATAGCGGTATGTCGTCAAATGGTCGCGTTTGACGGTGATCCTGTAGCAGTTGAAGTGGATATCCTCGACAGCCAAATGGTCAAGATAGACTCTGAAATGCTCGATCACCTTATTCCCTCTCAACGAAATAAAGTATAGGCACTGGGTATCTCCTTAGTATACTCATCCCAACACGCCCAGCCAAGGATGCGCGGGAAGTGCTAAAGGGATCCAAACCTGAAATAAAAATAAAAAGCATTTGGGTATCAAGAATTATCACAAATATGAAATAAAAATGAAAAAAAATCATTCAAGGATTAAAAATTATTACCACCAATATTGCCGTGCTGCCTGCGACCTGCTTCGTCTTACACTGACATCCATCTCTCAACTTCGAATACAGGTAGGCCAGGCACGCCGCCCCCCAGTTGTACTCATGGGTTCGTGTGACGTCTAAGAAGTTTCGGAGGTATGCAACGTCAGTATAGGTGGCACTCGTGTCCACAAAAATCACAGTGCTAATTAAATAGAGAAAACATGCCCTAAAAGCATGAGTGTTGTGTAAGGTCACCTGCTCGGCATCACCACCATCCTGTTCTGAAGCAATGATCTCATCATTAAATAACCTCTTCAGGAACGAAAACCTAACATGAGAACCCCTGGTTCTATCCACCTCCTCAAACGCCTTCCCTGGATTAGCCCCCAAATGCTTTACCATCATCTTGACCGCCTCGTCTCTGGTCATCCTACCATGATGGAGGAATCTCTCCCTAATTATAAGATGCAACAAAGACGAGACATCGTCTAGGGTGATAGACATATCACCATGCGGGAGATGAAAAGAAGACGTCTCAGAATGTCATCTCTCTACGAATGCATTAAGCATCCCGTGGTTGACCCGAGTGTAAGCGGTCAAGCATAAGTCACTCAACTCAGAAGCGGTCAGAACCGACTAAAAGCACTACTCATCCGGTTGTGCAATGTTATACTTTTTCCTATGGTTCAGAAACTTTTAGGGATCACGCACCTGCGAATTTCCAGAAATAATCAATGTCGATAAGAATCAATGTCAGCAATTTAAATTAACGTTAAAAAAATTTTAAAAAATTAGACTAATGTTACCTCTATATCCCATATATGTTTGGTAGTGTTGTCTAGATACAAAGAAAATATAGACATATCAGATAGACCCCCTTCGAAAGCCTCTGCCTCGACATCAGCAACCTCACCTTCCGAAGGTGGCACCGGTGCATCAGGATCATCAACAACCTCACCCTCCAGAGGTGGCACCAGATCAATAGAAGGTGGCACAGGTGCATCCCGACGCTTGCGAGATGATGGGGGAACTGGCGTGTCATCTGGTGCATCCCGTCTCCTGCGAGAAGAAGAAGAAGAAGAAGAAGAAGAATGTGGATGGACCTGAGATGTAACGGAGTATCCTGAGGTGAAGGTCGAGCCCCAATAGTGGACTGCGCCCTAAGAGTGGACTGAGTCACAATAATGGAGTGAGCCTCAAGAGTAGATTGTGCCCGAACAGTCGACGCCTCTCCCTGACCAGAGGTACTTGCTGGCACCGGTCCCACCGAATGAATGCGTGTTGGGAAACCCGTCCAAGTATCAATCGGTCATTATGTCTGCAAGGTTAAATTAGTCGTATAATGAGTTTACGCAAAAGAAACACGAACAAGAATATTATAAAACAAAACAAAAACAGACTGAAGAAATTATGTTGATATATCTATGGAAACATTCCGAAAATGTATCTCCAGAATTTTCTAAAACTCAGAGGTTGCGACAATGGCGTCCTCTACTATTTAATGAGTGAAAAAAAAAGCTCTGGTCGTCCATTTGAGCCAACAAACAATACATGCACTTACTCTAAACTATGTTTCATCTGATTTCTAAACATTTCGACACCTAACAATAGATTCTAACTCGTTTACAACAAAACTCGAATATTTGCCGAAAACTCAAAATTTACACGAAATGTTAAATGATAAAATGGATGAATATTGATGATACGTGAGCTTCGGAAGAATGAAATTAGGCATGGCAACATAACCCATATTCGTGGGGTACCCCCGAACCCGCCCCGAAGTTGACGGAGAAAACCCGCTTTGACTGGGTTTGAATTTTCTCCGATTAAAAAAACATGGGGATGGATCGGATAGTGGAGACACTATACCCATCCCGAACCCGCCCCATTTATTTTATATGTACATTTTTATTTAGTTTTGTTAATTTATAATATTATATATGTGGTCAATGTTTTGATATTTTGTTTTGTATTAATTATTTAAAATATTTAAAATGTATGTATGAAATTTTTTTAGATTGTTTTATTTTATTATTTTTAATGTAATTTGATTTTGAAAAAAATAAATATTTTTATTAAAAAAATTAATTTTACAAAATAAATGGTGGCAAGACCCGAATCTATTTAAGATGGGTTTGAGTTTTAATTCTCCATCCCTGTTTGAATTTGGGACAGGAAACAAAAATTGTTTGTGGATTCGGGTTTGGGTTTGAGAGAGATAAAAATTGTCCCCGACCTGTCCGGTTGACATTGTTTGTGGATTCGGATTTGGATCTGAGAGAGATAAAAATTGTCCCCGACCCGTCCGGTTGACATACCTAGATGAAATACAATTTGAAGAAATTGAAAAAATTTGAAAAATGAAAAAATATATGAAAAAATATAAGAATTTTGTGAATGAAAATGGAAAGTGTTCGATGAAATACAATTTGATGAGTCGAAAAAATTTGAAAATAAAAAAAATATAAAAATTTTGTGAATGAAAAAAAGTGTAAGGAGAAGAAAAGTTTAGGGCGATAATAAACTCCTTTTCAACATTCACTTATGATGTAAACTCCTTATTTTAGATTTGAATGAAACATGTATTTTAATGAGATTTATTTTACATATAAAAATATAAAGATGGCCTTAGTTTGGTTCCAGTTTTTTTGAATGAAACTCCTTATTACTGATAGATTAGATCTTATATTATTGATAGAAGCAAAAACATAATACAAACTATAAATCTACTCATCTGAAAAACGCAAAAACATAACACGACCATAAATCTCCTCATCTGAAAAACGGTAAATTAGATCCTTCTCACAATGACTACTACAATTACTTGTGAGGAAGATCACCTAAAAACTTTACAGAGATACAAGCTGTGAACCTCTTCTTAGTTTTGCTGCCAAAACTGCCATTCTCACATTCGGGTGAACTGCCAAAATCGGTGATTATATTTATTGCCAGTGTCGTGTGGCAGAACCTTGAGCAAAATACTCAATTCATCACCTTAAGGCATTCACAAATGCTGTTAAAGATTCAACGTCTCTCTTTTCTGAAGGATACTTAATTGGCCGAGATGAGTGTTTGGGGAAGAAGAGGATTGTGGGGAAGCTTCCCAACCCTAGTTCACTCTTTGCATATTCTTTTTCATCGCCATCTGCTCTAAATTTTCCAACCTTCACTCCTGACCCTGCTAAATTCTCCGCTAAATCCACATATGATTCTTCCATAGCCTGTTAGAATTTAGATTAAACATGTTATTAGAGAATGGAAATGGAAATTTCAAGCAAAATGAAGTAATACACCATAAGTGAGATACTTAATGGTAATGTTATTAGAGAATGGAAATGGAAATTTCAAGCAAAATGAAGTAATACACCATAAGTGAGATACTTAATGGTAACAGAGAGCATATCATTTTACCTGACAGAACCGGCACCATGGTGCATAGAGCACAACGATCCAGGGTTCTTTTCTGTCCTGCAATTTGGCCAGATTCTCAATTCCAGCCCTGCTCAAGCTTACCACATTCTCAGAGTTGAAAATGTCGGCAACTGTGGCAGAGCCATTTTCATGGGCCACACCATTTCCATTACCATTATTCTGGGCAGCATCATCCTGTTTCAAATTACCTTTGTGAAGACCACACTCCTTTGCTTTGGCATCCTCCCACCACCATCTTCCCTCTCTTTCATGCTGTCCAGGCAAAACTGGTCTTGTGCATGGCTCACAACCAATGGAAACATATCCTTGAGAATGCAATGAATTAACAGGCACATCCATTGTTCTTAGGAAGGTCCATATGTCAATGCCATTCACATTAGCAACCGGGTTCCACTTTACCAGGCTGCCACTGCCACCATCCAATCCCTCAAAAACTGGATCAACCTGAACAACAGGTATTTCAGACCTAGTACCAGGTGACTGGTCTTTTCTCTGTCCAGTAATCCATGCTCTGAGACCCTTAAGAGCTCTTCTTAAAGGTCTCACCTTCCTGATTCTGCAGCACTCTTGATGCCCATCCTCATAAAATGAAAAGAGCCCCTTTGTTCGCACTAATCCCTGAACCTCAACAGCATCAGGGAACATGTATTCAATGTGAATTCCATAGCGCTTCTCAACAGCATCAAAGAGTCTGTATGTTTCTGGATTCAGTCTCCCAGTGTCAAGACTGAACACCCGGTATGGCCTACCCGTCAAATGTGCATACTCGATTAAAGCAACATCTTCGGCACCACTGCAAAGACAAAGCTACTCATTAAAATCCAAGACCAAGTTGATAGGACATACTTACAACACCCAATAAAAGAATAAGCTGCAAGGAATCATCTTCATTTTTGGTACTAAGTTGCAATATCTTTTACTATTATGGAAAATACGTTGAAAATGGCATTTATGCATATCATTCATTCACTGCAAACTATTCCCTATTCCCTATTCCCTAAAGAGTTACAGAGATGATAATCCCCTAAGATAAAGCTTACTTATTTTGTCCAAACACCCTTATACGAAAAGGGGAAAAATCCTAAAAGAAAGTTTGAAAGCACTACTTAAGCTTTGTTTCAAATTTGGAAACAATTGAGTTTGAATGTGTAGAATTGATTTCGACATGTTTAGTTGTTTTCGAATAAAATTGATCTTACATAATTAATTCATTCAAAATCAATTTTTTTCACCCTAGAACCAAACACACACTACTAAAGTAAGCACCACATATTAGAATTTAAGATCAATTTTCCATAATTGACCAAGTGAAAACAATGGAAGACCAAATTCAAAAGGTAGGACTACCATGATTAGGGAAACCCAACACAAACAAAACACAAATTCTATACAACCAAAAATCATTCAAAAACATACTAATAATAATCAACCTGAAAGCAATAGCAATATCGTTTCCGAATTTCTCAAGAGCCTTGTCCATTATTTCAAGAGGGGAAGCATTTTCAAGGTTCTTCGCTAATTGTTCAAAATCCTCCTCTTCCTTCTCAAGAATCTCTGCAAATCAAGTAACATACACAAATCTTAACATCATAATAACATTTAATTAACTTCATTTAACAAAAACAATTAAAAAATAACCATAAAAAACCCCTTCAAAAACGAAAAAAAAAAATGAAACGCACCAGGAGCAACGATAGTTGCTGCAAGAGGAACAACGGAACCGTTTCTTTGAGATTCAGCATTAACAGGTCTCACCGAGGAACGTCTTGAAGGTAAATTAAAAACACCAGACGAAACATGAGCTCTCTCTGAAATCCTTAACGAACCAATTTGCAAAACTGAAAACAAACAAACAAAAAAGACGCATTCATAAATCAAACCCTAAACATCAAAAAACGCAACAAATTCCATTCAAATTTCAAAATCAAGAAAAAAAAAGACCAAATGACGAATTAGGATTATTACCTTTGGTATCTGATGAAGATCCGATTCGCGAGAACAAGGAAGTCGAATTTGCCGCTGCTGAAGACGAAGAAGTAACAGCGAGAGCCATTGGAGAATGAACGACGTATTGATCTAAGTTCGTGCCTAGATTGAGGTGTAGAATCTGTTGATTTTTTTGTGCTGTGAATTGAAGGAGAAGAAGAAGGATTCGATATAAAGAGAAAGGTAATGCGAGAAATTTTCAGGTTCATTGAACCTAGACGCAATTTCGTAACTCTTCGTTATGCTCACGTGGCATGATATTATTGGGTGTTGTCAATATGTGGCGCGTGTCATTTTTTGGTCACGCGGCCAAGTTGGACTAAGGTGTGTCATTTTTATATTCTTGAAGAATCTTCCGGGTTCTTCTCTTTATGGTTAAAAACTATTAACTGCAAAATACAATAAATAATGTATAAAGTTGATTATTTTATTTTAAATTAAGACTATATACATTATAGATACATTTATGTTACTATAAATAAATAAGCATATTGCATATTAATGTGTTCTTTTGGTCTAAAATACTAATAATATTATTGTCTTTTGTTTTTGGTCTTTAACATAAAAAAATAAGTTTTAAAATTTACTGAAGAGTTAATATATGTGGATTACATATAATTCAAATACTTTTTCAATCAATTTAAAAAAATATTTTTTATATTAAAGATCAAATGTAGTATATGTTAAAAATATGTTTTTTCTTTTTTAGTATGTATTAAAAATATAATAAAAAAATTTAAAATAATTTCAAGGATTTTATGTTGCACAGATTCATTGATTCCCCACCATCTTTCGTTTTTTTGTCTTTGGTGAATTTCTAACCATGGACTCAACGATTATATGCGTTTTCCTTTTTTGAAGTTTATTTGTGTGGTGATGTCAACCACTAGGCTAGTTGTGAAAAAAGGTGGTGTGATCAATATGAGGCTGCAATGGAAAAGGAGCAATCAAGTTGGACAATGATGGAAAAGTGCCATTTAAGACATAAATTAAGAATCGAGAATCTAATATGCTATTGGTGTTGTGTTCTAGTTGAAATTTACGATGCATCTTTTGTTTTAGAATCGAGTTTGTAAAGAATGACCCAAATCATTGAACTTATACTTAGTGGGAGAGGGTATATAATGTAGATATGTTTATTGGTATATGCTTTAGTTAAGCAACTCAACATCGCTATAATTAATCCAAATAATCAAATGAAATCTATATAATGCTCTCATTGATAAAGTGTATCTTTGTATTTGTCATATTTGCAAAATATGATAAATTTTGAAATTTTGGCAAAAAACCAAGATTGAGTATGAAAGAGAGAAGGGTGGAGGGAGCCGAGAGGATAACTTTAGGAGTATACATGTTTTAAAAGAAAAAATTATCCTAATATTTTATTAAATAAAATTAATGATTGATTAAAATAAAATAGATATTATGTTGATATCAACTTGGATGATGAAAAGTTAACTATCAATATAATATAATTTAATAGAATAAATTATTAATTTTATTTAAAAAATTAATTAATAAGTTTAAGTTCTAATATTATTGATAGTCTTCAAGAATCATAACATTGTCCCTTTGCAAATTCACAATAAGATGGAGAAATGAAATTGTTTGTTACTTACTAAGACATGCATTTTTTTGTTTCTAAGGAAATCAATATGCTGACAAACTTGTCTTATGATTTCATTTGGTGGGACCTTCAATCTCCATTAGGTTCTATTTAGTCTTATTTAGTTAAACATATGTTGGACTTTCCAATATTTATTTATGCCAAATTTTTGTTTCGGCTAATCTCTCTTTCCTTTTATCTTCTTCTTTTTCTTTTCAATACGGTAGATATATAATTCTTTTTAATTACTAACACATGAATAAATTTTATATTTTGATGTTTTTGTTTGTTTGTTTTTATTTATTTATTTATTTTACATTTTGTTATACATAAAAACAGTTAAGGTTGAAGATGCAACATTCTGAAGGTGTGAGAAAACACAAGAAAAGATGATTTGAATTGGGTTTTCAAAAATGAATTTTTTTTGTGAAACTCAAACAAATATCACAAATAGACTAATCAAGAAAGAAAGACACATGATATGTTCCGATTCACTTGAAAACTATCAAGCTAATCCAGTCCACCTGCCAAGGTGATTTTGTCTTATACACAAGGACTTAATCCACTATAATCAACACATTATAATGCACTAGCAACCGTTGGTGACTAACAACACAGACAACAATCTCTTCTTAAGGATTCTGACCCAACTGGTCCCTTAAGGAATTACAATTTGCACAAGCAACCGCTGGTTACTAATAACAAAGATTAACCATCTCTTCTTAAGGATTCAGACATAATCGGTCCCTTAAGGAGTTACAAACAGCAGTTTGAACAAAGATGTTTATAATGAAATTGCTTCTAAACAAGCAGATATAAACACTATTAATAGCTCAAATGTCTTAAAGACACTAATATAGTATGAATAATATTCTTCTTTGTATTGTGGTGCTTCAACACTGTAGCTTCAGTTCTTCATGGATTGCTTTCAATCAAAGTGTAACCTTTGTATTAATCGTTGTAAAGCTTCTTAATTTCTTCAAGTAATCAAGTCCTTATATAGCAAGAAAAAGATCAGTTAGAGGGCAGATCAGGAATACCCTTTAGGTAGTTGGTGACTTGAAATAATGTCGTTACGCAGAGATGAAAATCATACACAAAAGTTGTGCTTTCTACCACCAAATCAGGGTAGTGGAATGGTAGTGGAATAAGACTTTAAAACGTAATATTTACTATTTTGTCTCGTCGACGTTTGAGATTCTCTTCTTTACATCAGAGGCTTTCGAATAGAGATGATTGAAGCATGAGTAGAAGAGTTGATCAGTAGGTCTTCAGAGTCTTGAGTCTTCAGAACTTGTTCACCAGAACCTTGTTTTCAGAACTATAAGCACTCAGTCTTCAGAACCTTTGGTCCCTTGTAACTTAAGTCTTCAGAACAACGTTCAGCAGAACTTTGACTTCAGAGTCTTCAGCACTTATTCTTCAGAAACTCAAGTTTTCAGAGTCTTTAGAACTTCGTTCAACAGAACATTGTCTTCAGAGTTTTCAGCACCTAGTCTTCAGAAGATATGACTTCAGAAGTTTGAAAGCCTTCAGAAGTAAAGTATCAGAGTCATGATCAAAAGCAGAAACTAAGAGAACATTGCAGCAACAATATATTGTCTTCTTAGAATCTTTCTGAATGAGAGTATATCAGAAGCAGACTTGTTTCTTGTAGCGCAAAAGCAACTTTGGTTAGATTAGAGTAATCGTTGAATATGATCTCTATCAGAATCAGAGCTTTCTCTATCAGAGTCAGAACTTGTTTGTTAATTCTTCAGAAAAACAAACATTAGAGTACCAAAGTTGTTCTCACACAAATACCACTTTGTTATTATCAAAATTTAGAGATATCTTGCAAAACCAAATCTTGTTCTAACAATCTCCCCCTTTTTGATAATGACAAAATCATGTATTTTAATGACACAATTGTGTACAATGATAATCAATAGAAAATGATAGAGATAAGTTTAGAAATAAATTCCCTTAATCAAAGCTCCCCCTGAATCTAATATCTCAAAAATCTTATCAGATTTGGGATACTGAAGCCTGATTGTAAAGTTCTTATCAGATACACAGTAACATTGCTTGATTATATATCAGAGCCTGATTAGACTTATAAATCTGAGATGGTTAAAGTCTGGTTCTTATCAAATGCATCTGATAGAGATAGTGATTGGTTAAATTAGAGCCTAATTATCAACATATCAATTTGTTTATGAAAATATTCTAAGAAACAGAATTGAATGCAATCAAAGAGTTAGAATATATGAACTATGATTCAGAGACAAGACATTCTTTATCAAAATAATTTTCCCTTTCAAGTACTCCCTCTTTTTGTCATAATCAAAAAGGAAGAAAAAAAATTCAAACAACATAAGATAAACACAAAGAAAACTAAGGGGTGGCCTAAGGAGTGTCTAAGGTTGAGAAGAAGGAGGGAGCCTCTGAAGGATCTGAGCAAGGGAGTTTTGAATGCTGAAAGTGAGTTCATCTTGCATGCCCACCCTTGTTCTGAACAACTCTTGATCCTTTTGAATTCTTTCCAAAGTTTGTATAACAGGATCAGAAGTAGAGTTTTCAGCAGCTCTCGTGATTTCTTCTTGATTTTTCAATGCAGCTTCCTTCTCAGCTTGATCTTGAGCTTCTTTCAAAGAGTTTCCTTAGCCATTCTCTCTGCTAGTTCTCTTTCAGTAGCTAACTTAGCTTCAGCTTCCTTTTTAGCCTTCAATCTCTCTTCAACTTGCTGAACAAGATAGTCTTTTGAATGAACGAAGAGATTTTGAATCTTCTGAAATTCTTCTGACATCCACTGATTGAATTGATCCCAGGAAGCACCCAAGGCAGAAGGGTCTTCACTAGAACTTGACTCATCAGAGAGTGCCCTAAATCTCATAACAACATTGTCCTTAAAAACAGAAATAACTTCATCTAAGTTATGAGGGAGAGGGTCAAAAGATTGATTTTCAGAAATTGAGTGGGTTTCTTCAACAGAATCATCCAAGTTGGTGATATTATGATTTTCAAGATTTGATTTTTGTGGAGAAGGTTCAGGATATTGTGGAATGGTTTCTGAGATTATCTATGGAAAGGTTAATGGTGAGGAGATAGTTGGAGATGATTGTACGGATATGATAGGGGTTGGTTCGGAAATAGTGTAGATTGGTTCAGTTGAAGTAATTTGGAGTATTTGTGGTGAAAGTTGTGTTGATGGTGGAATTATTTGAGTGTTTGTTTCATAAATAAAGATGGTTGAAAACGTTGGTGGTGATGAAAGTAGTGTTGGTGGTGTTGGAAGAGACAAAGATATATTATGTTAGTAATAATAGTAGTTGTTACAAAAGAATCTAAAGATGTCAAAGAAATATTATTTGTGTTGGTTTCTCCCAAACGTTTTTGCTTATTTGCAATCTTTTCTTAAGGAGCTTTGTTGAGGGTTATTTTCTTTCTCATTTGATCAGAGGGATTTTCTGGTAGATCTT